AAAGTAATGATCATAATGATATGATAATGATAGTATGATAGTAGTAATGATGATGATGATAATAATAATAATAATAATAATAATAATAATAATAATAATAATAATAATAATAATAATAATAATAATAATAATAATAATAATAATAATAATAATAAATACAATAATAATAATAATAATAATAACAACAATAATGATAATGATAGTAATAATAACAACAATAATAATGAAAATAATAGGTGATAATGATAATTATAAGAATAAGAATGAAAATTACTATAATGATACTGGTGATGATAGTAGTAGTAATGATAACACTGATAGTAGTAATAAAAATGATGATGATAGTATAAATAATGATAATAACAATAATGATCATGATAATGGCAATGATGTTGATAACGATAATAACAATGACAATAACGATAATGATAGTGATAATCAGGGCGATAATGATGAGGATAATAATAATTATTATGACAATTATGATATTATGAAGATGATATAATAATGACAATAACTATAATAGTAATGATAATAGTTTTGATAATACTGGTAATGATAATAGTTATGATAACGATAATAATAGTGATGATAATAGTTATAAAAAGACAATAACAAATAATAATGATAATGATTATGATAATAAAAGTTATAATACTAATAATGATAATGATAATAATAGTAATGATAATGATAAGGATGATAGTAATAGCATATATACTAATGGTAATAATGATAATAATGTTAATAATAATAATGATGATAATGATAATAACAATAATTACAGTAACAATAATAATGATAATGATGATAATGATAATGATGATAACAATAATAATGGTGATGATTATAATGATAGTAATGATAATTATAATGATGATAATAAAAATAGCAGTAATGATAATAACAATAAGAATAATCCTAATAACAGTAATATCAATATTGATAATTATAATAACAATAATGATCATAAAATTAATAGCAACAATAACATATTGTAATGATAATAATAATCATAGTAACAATGATGATAAGATTGATAATAGTTACAAAAACGACAAGAATGATGTTAATGTTAATGATAATAATAATGCTAATAACAATAATAATGATGATGGCAATAATGATCAAATTATTATGATAATGATAATGATAATAACAATAATGATCATAATGATGATAATGGTGATGATAATGGTGATGATAATAATAATGATATTGATAAAAGCAATGATACTGATATTAATGATGATAATTATAATAACAAAATTTTTGATAACAAAGATGTTAGTAACGATAATGATAATAGTGATAATGTTAATAATAATAATGATGATAGTATTAAAGATTACGATAATAAAGATGATGGTAGTTATGATTAATACAACAATAGTAATAGTAATGATAATGATAATAACACTGATAATGATAATGATAATAATAATGACAGCGATGATAGTAATAATAATAGTGATAATACTAATAATGATTATGATAACAATGCTTGTAATGATAATAATAACAATAATGATGATGATGATAATAACAATAACAATAATAATGATGATGGTTATAATGACAATAGTAATATTGATAATAACAACAAAAATAGTAATGATAATGATAATAATCATGATAGTAAAAGTAATAACAATATTGATGATGATAATAATAACAGTAATAATGATACTAATGCTATTTATGATGCTACTAATGACAGCAATAATAACAATAATGATACTAACAATGCAATGATTAGTAATGATAACAGAAACAACAGCAGGAATAATGACGTTGAAGATGATGATGTGATGACAGTATTAAGAATATGGTTGACAGCAGGTACTGATAATTTTGATAATATCAAAAGTGATTCTTTCCTCTATTACAATGTCTTTGTAGTCTTTTTGGACTTTTATCATTCATATCCATAATAGGCTAACGGAACAAAAATATGCATATTATATTTCGTGACGAAATAATTATTTGATAAAAAATGTAAACTTTCGGATTCCTTGATCTTCAAGACTACAGTATTAGACAGTTTATATTAACAGTTTGCATACAAAAAAATACTTCTACAATTCTAAAAATATAGTGCTATAGAGTTTTCAACCAAACTTTCGCGTAAACTCAATAAGAGTATGTTTTTAAACTTGGCGGTCTTTTAGGCGTATTGTAGAAAGTGTCCGTTTCCATGTATGATTGAAACGTGGATTGATACTGAAAGTTTCTCTTCTTTATATGCTCAATTTGCAATAATATGATTAAGCAGACAAAATAATATATCGTTTATATAACCAAACTTATAAAAAGTCTATAAATCAAAGCAGTTAAATGTACCAGAACATAGAGTAAATCCCTGCCAGACCATGATTACCATGAAGGCAAGAATAAACAGACATAAATCAATCTCAAGAGAATCAAAGAGAGCCATTTTGCACTCAGCAACCTCCCCCAAGAGCTCAGAAAAGGTCAAAAGCCTCTCGCAAAAGGTCAGAGTTCCTCCCTAACTGCGTCCTCCATGAGAGGGGAGTGGACAGAATGGCCGTGGAGGATCGATGTGTCAAATAACCACCCATGTGCCGCAATTGTCCGGTTGCACGTGTTGCAGAGAGCAATGGAGGTGTTGCAAACTGACAAATACTACATCTTCAACAGGGGTCAAGATTCCCTCTGGTGTGACAGGAGGACGGGCCAATTCCAAGCCAAAACATGTGAGTGAAAAGGTTTTGTTTACATGTCATTGTCCATCAGCTGATCCCATCTTGGAAGGAGGTGCCTCGACCTTTTCTCTTTCTCCCTTTTCTCGCCTTGCTGAATTTTTTATATGCATCTCTTATTCTTAGAACGAAGCCTTATATAATATATTTTCATCTTTTCTCCGTACACTAAAAGATAGGGATATGTTATTTATCAGTTATGTCACTTATTCTTTTAAATCATCACTCTTTCGGTATGAACTTTTTAAAGGCGAGGATTTGCTGTATTTAGTGACTTGTGGATTTGATTATAACAGACATTTTTTAGTATTAGGTTCAGTCATAATAGATATATGATAGTTGCATTTCTTTTTATAGTCTCTTGGAAGTAAAGGATGTTGAGAGACAGAAGTTAACACTCAGAGGTTTTAGATATCACTTGCATTTCTTAGATTTACAATTAGCTGGCAAACAATCAGCAGCTTTAGAATTTGAATGAGTTGTGAACAGTATTTGAGTATCATTATGTAGTCTGTTTAGCGTGTAATATTAGCCACCCACCATTGAATCAACATAAATTCTCCTCTGTGCTCTTCAGTTCACAGATCTTTCTCTTTGCATTATCGCGAGTCTAATAGATACTTGCAAGATACCCTCTCGTTTGTCACAGGCCTTCGTATCTTTGTCTCTGTATGTAAAAAAGGTAAACCTCCAGGAGGTTTGTGGACTTTTTTTCTCTCAGACTGGCAACTTTTGAATTTCAATTAAAGCACAACCTGTGAGTTCCCAACAATTTTATTAACTTCACCCACATGTACGAACAGTTGTCAATAATACTATTATACTTTCCTTGGTATATGTAGTGCGGACGCCTTAATTAGTATTGCCTTTTATTTATTAATTGTTTATTTATATATTTTTTTGTGGGGGTATAATCTTTATGGTATGGAAACATTAGTCACAGAAACTTGGATTGCTGAATAAATTTTGTGATGTAGATTTGGGGAACTTAGTCTCTGGCAAGTGCGTATGTAATGTAAAGAATTACCATTTTTTTCTTTTTTGGGGGGAGAGGGAAAGGGGAGGGAATATGAAGCAAATGATATACAATTGATATCTGCTGAGTGTATAACAAAGCCATAAAAGGTCAACAAATATCTTTTTCATATAATCTGGCAGGATATAGATTGAAATATTTCTGCATGATGATAAACCTTTTGGAAGCTGTGGAAGCTTTGTTGGTATGTGGAAAGGTATGAATGAGAACGAATATCTTCACAATGCAAGGGATGTATTTCGATTTTATCTTCATCAGAAATACATACATGTATTTCTGACGAAGATATAATCAGAACCGGTGAAATACATCTCTTGTATTGTGTGAAGATATTCGTTCTCATTCATACGTTTCCACATTTGTCAACATGAATATGGTTCATTAACTTTGTCAGTATGAATACCATATTGTAATTCATGAAGCAAATGTACAGATTTTTGTAATATAGCCATTGTTGAACTGCTTTAAACAATAAAATCTCAAGGTATTCCAAATGATAAAAAAAAAAACATTCAAGTTATTTCATGTTGCCTTAGTTAATATGTAGTATGAAAACATTTCATTGTATTTCATGATGTCCTGTATAGGCTTAGAAAAAATTTGAAACTATTTTTAAGTATGGTTGTATTGGCCTTTTGATTTTACAAGTAGTTTTCATTGATTATTGTCTGCAGATGAATTGAATATCCGGGCATTGTTTTTTACTAATATAACTATTTTCCATAAAGTGCATGTCTGTTGAAACATAGAAGCATTAGTTATTTGTGAAGGATGAAGGTTGATTGAACCACTGTGTTATACTTTTATTATCTATTTTTAATATCTGGAGTGAAATGTCCTAGATGAAAATTATCCTGGATTTCATCAGATTATCAATATTTTATACTGCTTCTCATGTGGATAATGCAACTTATATAGTCGAAAATTGGAGCATGAAATATGTCTTTTTTTATATTTGTAGCATTAAGAAATATTCAGTTGTCAGTTAAATATTGGTGCTAGAACAGGTCTGTGGGCATGTTGTCGAAACTAGTTTTGTAATATCAAAAGCTACAAGTGATTTGATTATTGATATCAGAGGATATCAGGGAAATGAGTTTCCTGTTTTCAATGAAGAATAAATTGGAAATTTGATAAAGGTGCCACAGATCAGAGAATTTCGTGAGCCCAAAAGAGATAATGGTGTCTGTTTTATTTTTTCCTGTGTCAAAAAGGAATACTGACCAGATGATAGGCTATAG